CTGATTTTTTTTCTAAAGGACTACTGCAGACAGCAATAGAACACTTGTCACAACTATAAAACACTTTTATGTGTATAGAGAGCTGAGTTAAACTGCATCTATAGATCAGTGTTTTACAGCTTCAGATACGCTATAAAGATAAAATACATACTTAGTTTTGTGAATCAGATCCAAGATGTTAAACTGTACAAAAGTTTCAGAGAAACAGCTATTTATAGATGTTGCTGCATAGTCTCTGAATCAGATGCATCTTATTTTCCCATTTCAAAGTTTTAAATATTTAATATTATACATAAAATATGGAAGCAAGATTTTGTATATCCACTTCCATGAAAGCTTTAAAAAAGTAACTGCTTTCTCCAGTCTTTTTTTTTTTTTTTTTTTTTTTTTTTTAATCTAACCATTGGATTTCCTGTTCAGGAACTTTGATTTTGGGTTTAGAAGTCAATCAAAATTTAATGTTTTTTAACATGAAGAAGAAGAAGAAAACCAATGCAATTTTTTACATTAATTTTATCTTCCAAAATCTTTTGGGTTTTGTGGTAGCAATGTGTCTTGCCATGCCTCTAGCTACACGGAGTCGGATGCCTACTTAATTTTTCTACAGGTGAGTGAGAGTAAATATTTCTAGGAAAATGAGCCGTACCTCAAGAAATGGGCAATCCATTTCTATCACTGAACTAAGGTCTGACCCAGTGCAAAGTGTCTAGCAATGTGCATTCTCTTCTTAGCAAACTGATTTGTTGACGGAGTTGTAGCAGGCAATTTGTGGTGCCTCTTTGCTTTCCAAGGCAGCATTCCTAGTGCTGTGTGACTTCCTCCCAGTGAGGAAGACTACCAGCAAGTGTGGGATGAATTCCCCAGGCTTCTCTGGATGTCCTTTCCATCTTGGACTTTTTCCTGCCTTTTGTAATGCAGTTTTCTGTCCCCAGTCACTGTTGGTTTTTGCAAGCGCAGGCTGTTCAGCAGCTTTGACTACTGAATGTGCTGTTCCTGTGTCTGGCTGCCTGTGGCTCGCGGGGAGCGGGGAACGATGTTTCTGGCTCAGGAAATTGGCACCTACGTTGGCCGAAGTCCCGCGTATGTCCCAGCGTGATCCCTAACTGATGAGCACCGTCCGCGAGCTGTGTAATGAAACAGAGAGGCTCTAATTATGTGATAGTCTGCTGGTGCTGAACTGTAAATGGCATCCTGACGCTGTAGCAGCGGAAAGCTGATTCTTAATGAAATTGGCCCCTGCAGTATCTCAGGCGAACAGAGCTGTAACTTTTTAATGACTTCTTGAAGACAGGTCATGGGTTTATAATTATCTCTGTCTCTGAATATACGGGAGTATCATTCCATTCCTCAGATCGTAGATATTCCCAAATGGTTGGGATTGGTGTGTCCTTGGTGCTTATTTTAGTTATTGTAGACATAAATACATTTTACCCTTATTATTTGCATGCTGTTTGACTACCAGTAAGTGAATTTGCAGCATTTAAGCTGGTATTTTTTAATGACAGGATGCACAGTCTGACCTACTTTTCTGTGCGCTATCAGCGGTGAATATAACCCCTCGGAAGAGACATGAGAAAACTGCCAGAAAGTCTGGTATAAATGATTCACAGAAGACTATATGATCACATACTATTGAATAATATGGCAAAGCTGTATCACGGTATCTGCTGAAAAATATAAATTTTTTTTTAAATAAATATATCATGTGTGCTATTCAGAAGATGGGGAAAATAGCAAACCTTTCTTTGCTCAAATAAAAAATTAGACTTTTTTTTTCTTATTAGAAAATTATTTTCCATGCATTTAAATAGTGTGATTTTAGAATTATAAGTATCTTGTGGTTACCCTAAGAAGTCTTTGTACTGTGGTTATTCTACAAATAGTTTAATTTTTAAGAGACATTTAAGAGAGAGCTTGATCTGCAAGAGCTGCTTCTCCCTTCTAGGTCAATTCTGACACATTTGTGCAAAAAAACTCCCAAACCCCAAGCAAACAAAAACAAAGGAAAAAACCCACCTTTATATCCTTCCTGGTCCTGTGGTACTGCACATGCCTGTCTGTTACTTTCCCACAAATTAATACCCCCTTCGGGGAGCCTTTACCAAAGGTGATTTCAAAAGGTGTAAGTAGGAGTAATACTTCACTTTGTGTAAAGCTGCAAGTTATTGGATATCTTGCATATTCCGCTGTGTCACCATCTGAGGAGATGTTTGTCAAGCAGCTTAGCCAGTTTCCTGGTAAACACCAGTTGCAGTAAGTGTGGAGGAAAAAAATTGTAAGATTGAAGATACTGGCATCTCGCCTCAGGGCTGGCTCTTCTATTTTGGTCTCTTTCGGTGGTTGCAACTTCAGAGTGTATGAAGTAACTCCGAGTTATACTTAGGTGGTAAAGAGATTAAAATGGCAAGATGTATCCAAAATCTGATTCTCACCCTACTGGGATTAACTGGGCATCTTTGGGCACTTAGGTTTTAGCCTTCATGTTCTGTAGCTCCTGTCTGTCAGGAATATTTGGCTTCCCTGCTAGATACCGCAAAACTTGAAAAGATTGTCCACTGAGCAGGTGCAGACTCTGAAGAGCACATTTCATCTGGGAGGCGGATGGAGATTTTGAAAAGTCATAGGCTTGCAGTCAGTTAGAAATTATTAAATTTGGATTTATTAGTTGTCTTGGTCCCTCACAGATCTGTGGAAAAGTTTTTGTTGGGGACAGGAAATAAGTCTCAAACACATTAATTAATACATTTTATCCAAGGTTAAGGGCGGGGGGGGGAGATGACGACTGCTTTCACAGCAATGTTCTATGCCATTCCATTGTTAGCAGAGAAAAATACCACAAATCATTGTGAAAGATTGGTTAAGTAGATTTTAGTTTGAAACTGGTGATTCTGCAATGTATGCTTGGCTACAGCTTTTTAATTAGCAGAGAGTAGTTATTCCAAGAAGCACACCTTGCTGACCGCACCAAGTGGAGAAAGAAAATCAGAATTTGAGTACTGACTAGTTTGTCCTAATCTGAGAGTTCCAGCACTTTTAAATTATACATCAACTCTAAAGATGTCTTCTGCTTTTTTCTGGTGGTTGACTGTGTAGTTACAATTTTACAGTTCTTGTGCATTGTTGTACTGCAGCCTGTCTGCTCTTCAGAGGCAAATGTATATACATGTTCCCTCAGCTTCTTTCTAGCTGTTGTCTAGAGGGATATTTAGTTTATCAAGCTCTAAAGATTTTTCTTAGCTGAGCTAGAAAACTGAGGGCAGAATAGAGTTTTCTTTCCAGTGGCTTATGCAACTTCTGTGGTGTTTTTCTGATTTTTGTGAAGAGCTTCACGAACATGCATATTTACTTTCTTCCCCTGAGGTAAAGTAGGTGCTCATTTTGGTAGAACTAGAAGTCAAATATCTATTTTAATAGACCTATTTTATAATTATAGAGTCATGGAATAATTCATGTTTGAGGGGACCTCAGCTCATCTAGTCCAACCTCCTAATCAAAGGAGGGGTAGGTGAGATCAAGCCAGGTTGTTCAGGATTTTATCTGATTGAGTCTTGAAGGTGGAGGTGGAGACTGTGCAGCCTGTCTGGGCAACATGCTCCACTGTTGGACTGTTCTTGTGGTGGAGAAGTTTTTCCTTGTATCGAATCCAGTCCTCTCATTTTAGCTTATGCCCACTGGCTCTTGTCCTCCCACCCTGCACCATTATGAAGAGGCCAGCTCCACCTCTTCAATGCCTCCCTGGAGGTCCTGGTGCGCTGCTGTTAGGTATCCCCAAAGCCGCATCTTTTCCAGGCTGAACAAGGTGCAGGACTCTTTCCAGGTGCAGGACTTTGCCTTTGTCCTTGTTGAATTTCATAAGGGTCCTGTTGGCTTGTTCCTCCAGCCTGTCTGGGTCCCTCTGGATGGCAGTCCTGCACAGGCACGTGTCAGCTGGTGTCCCCAGGGTGGTGTCATCTGTAAACTTGATGAGTGTTCATTCTTCCAGAGCATTGGTTAAGGCGTTCAGCAGCACTGGTCCCATGGTAGATCCCTGCATTGTGCAAGATACATATTTAAATAGTGACTTGTATTCTATCAACAAGCCTAAGTTTTGTATGACAAAGTAGGATGGCATGGCTGGTTGGCCTTTCAGTAGGAGTTGCCTCCTGCCTGCTGTTTGAAGACCAGCCTTGTGAAGCCACTTTTTGTTAGGAAAACAAGAGCGGATGAGAGTTTTGTATAGCCACTGTCCTCTTCTAGGTGCTGCTGTATTACGGTTTGTAGACTACTTAATTGGGATGGATAAATGTGCCTTGGATGGAAAGGGAAGAGCACCATGAGGTTTTTCATTACTTGGGAGTTTCTGTTCTCTCTCTGAGATATCTGTTGTGGGTTTATTGTTTGTTGGGTTTTTTTTTTTAACACTATGATCGAGAGTGGAATATAGGTGTAAAAAAAAGATATGTTGTCTTTCATAAATGCGGTGACTGATACCTGTGTACTCCACTCCATGCCTGACATACTTGCACCTTTCTCACTCTATCCCCGAATCCTGTAATCTGTAGGCCATTTCTTAAAGTAAATGCACCTTTTATCTACTTTTGATTTTTGTGCCTTGGAGAGCTAAGGTATTGCTGGCAAAACCAGTTCTGGAGTCTGACACCTCTGCCTTAAGAACAGAACATACAAACAGTGAAACCTGTACAACCACAGTTAAAGAAATAACTGTTCTTCAGAGGTGACTTTTCTTGGGTTAAACTTCGGCAACTTCAGATAGATGGAGGTGCTAGTTCCCTGGAACTGAGCCTGGGAATGGGAGCCAAAAACCCTTATAAGCAATTGGCATTGTCTCCCTATTCTTGTGATGAATATACACGGCATAAAAGCTTGATAGTATGTGGCCTTAAGCTTGTATTATTTGACGATTATTCTTCCCTCTTTGGTTGCAAAACAAAAGCTTAAAATATTCAGTTACATCATTGTCTATTTAAACATAATTTTTACTCTTTTTTCTTATTTTTCAGTGACAATGACAAATATTGGAGAAAAAGGTAAGATTTTCATTAGCTGTTTATAAGTGGAATTCGTATGTCATGGTAGTATAGTAGTTTACTAGCAGAATTGAGATACAGAACTAATCTGTTTTAAATAAGTGTATGTTTTTGTGTTCCTCAGCTCCTTTTATTGTCCTGTGGTTCCAGAATATTGCTTTAGCCATTCCAAATAGAGATGAGAAAAAATTAGAAATTTTTACTTTTCTTACTGTCTTTCTGAATTGTCAGCTAAAATAATCCTTACATTTTGTTGTCAAAAAATTTTATTCATAGCAAGGAAAGCTCTTGTAAAACCAGGACTTCTAAAGATGAGCAAGGTGTTTGTGCAGAGTGCAACATACTTAAATTGGAGGTGACTTTTTTCTGCAATTTCTATTTAGCCAGCGTCTTTGAAGAAACGGAATATTTCAGATACGTAACCTTTTCAGGTATAATAAAACTGCCCGATTAACTGTCATTAGAATGCCTACCCCAAGGCTGTAGCATGTTTAGATTCCTCTTCCAGATGCTACAGCACAACATGGAAGTGTAAAGTGTGGGGCTGCAGAACTTTTGGAGGAAGGGTTTGGGGGTTAAGAGACAAAGTGTACGCTTTTTCCTTTTGTGTAATTCCAGCAGGTTTTATTAAGTCATTGGCAACTCCCTTGTTTAGAAAAAGTGTTTGCCAATTAAGAAGCATTTGCTTGAAAAACTTTTTTTCAGTTCAGTGATCTCCCCCCTCCTGCTATGAGTGCATAAGCACATCTGCAAACTTCAGCACCCGCTTTGAAATAATTCCGGTTTCTTGCTGCTCAGGGGATGATGACAATGACAACACACAAGTGTGTTGTTAGGCATTGCTCCCAAAGCACATTGAATTATTAGCAAAATGCATTGGGGAACACTAAATTTCCTTGTTTTTAGCTGCTCAAAGCCTCAGTGAGCTTCAACCAGGCAGGAGAAATTTACCCTGGCTGTACCCCTGCCCTAAGTGTTTTCAGGGGTGAAAACTGGGCAAATAGGGCTCAGTCCGATTACAGGTTGTTGCAGATCTCCAGGCAACTCTGGCTTTGCCAGCTATTTATAAATGGGTTGCCTTCAGGCAAGGCATGCGCCATTTGTTTTTTTTCAGGAAAAGTGTAAAATAGAAGGATTTCTGTCCAGAGAGCTGTGGACAGCTCTTCTTTTTCTGTCTCAAGGGAATTGAGGTTCTTGTGTTGGACTCTCAACACTCACAGACCCAGTGGAGCATCTGGGTAGCCCAAGATCTCCATTGCAGTGCAGGGAAACTGGTGGGTAGGTAACCTGGGAGAAGTGACCGGTTGGGATGTGGGTCGAGTTGGAGAACTGAGGTACAAGAGCAAACAAGAAGAGCTTAAGTCTTGTGCAGACTTTAAAGGGGAAACATGGCATAATGTCTTTAGGCTAAAATTTTGTCTTCCTCCAGTAGTCTTTTTTATTTTTTTTTAATGGATGAAAAAGGACTTTTCTTATCAATCACAGTTAGTGCTATTCTCACAACAGTAAAATATAGATGCAGATTAGTAAATGCATAGTGCACAGAACTGATGTAACTTGCCCTCACTTTATGCCGTGAACATACTGTGCTTTAAAAAAATACTGATTTTGTTTGAGTAAATGAGTGGGGGGTGGTTAGAGTTGATAGAAATGATCTGATAAAAATGTGGACTGTTCCTGCCAGATGCTTGTGCAATAACAGGATGGTCATTTAGTGTATTGTGCTTGATTTGGAGTCCAGTTCTATCACTTAATTATACTGATGAGATTTTTTTCAGTTTATAGACATGGCTCTTTTCCCCTGTCATTCCAAAAGCTTTGTACAGTGTTGCTCCTCAGATTTTGTTAGCTTTTGTTTTTTATTTTTAACTGCCTAGCAAATAAGAATAAATATTTACTGTGTTGCTGCTTTTTTTGAGTAAACAAACTTCAACACCAGAAATATTTATTCAGCGTTACTTTTGAGGCAAAATTATAAAAAACAAGAACATGCTGGGCTACTGTTCCTCCATTTATACACAGCATCGTGCATGTGTTATGGAAAATTCTGTAGCACTGAGTAGCATTGCATATATAAAAACATGTGCTAACCATACAAGGGCAGATTGTGTAGTGAAAAGTACACAAGTTTTCCTTTATGATGTTTTTTTGATGATCATACAAATTTATAGAAGTTGTATAAAGACTTTTTGACTGTGTAGCTTCGGTATAACCATGAGCTGTCGATGATCTGAGTTCATCTGTACAGAAGGGAAATAATATTTTTTACCGTTGCTGTCTTAGCTGTCCTTTATTTGCTGCTTCTTTGCTCCAGGAAGAAAACTCCAAGGAAATACTCTTTCTTGTGCATTAGAGCAAGTTATTGAGGGGATACCAGTTTTGGATTTACTGTTTACTGTAGTGAGTTGCTTAGTACAGTGACAGCTTTTAAATGGAAACACCTATCCATCCATGGCAGGCTCTTTGGAAAAGTTGATATCACCTCCTGTATTCTAGTAAAATAACTCAGCATGGTAAATGTTGACTGGCATCTATTAAAAATTTTTAAGAATAAATCACTGGCTGTGAAGAATATAAAGTGGTGAAGGAACATTTGAATTTAAAGAACTTGCATGTTTTTAAAAAACACCCACTGTCCTCCCTTCTGAAAATCTAGCAAAACAAATTAACTGGTTATGGTTACTGCTCAGGTATCCTATGTATATCCACTCAAAGACTGCCCATACTCTAGTCATTGTTTAGGTAGTTATACTTCCTTTTGAGGAGGTTTTGGGGTTTTGTTTGGGGTTTTTTTGCATTGCTAGCAGTCTCCCTACATGGTTTATAAAGCTAAAAACCAGAGATGCATCAGTTAAATAGGATTTAACAAATGCATGAAGGGAGAGTGCTTGCTAATAATTATGGGGCTCTAATAGGCTATTAACCATTCCCCTCAAACTTCTGTAATATATTAGCCTGTATCGTGACTTTCCCCACACAGTCTGTATTTGTCTCATGTAAAGTTGCAGTGCAGTATGTTTGTTGTAAAGCTTTTGCAGAGCCTCTGTATTTACATCTGTTAGAGTAACTATCTGTGATATGTACAGCATCCGTTTCTAAGTACTATAATATCACTGGTCTGTTTGTATTAATTCTGTTCCTTTTTTATTTTAGTTGTGTGCCTGGTTGCGTACCATATATTTTTCATGCTGTTCGTCTGGTCATATTGGAAAACAATCTTTACGCTACCAATGAATCCTTCAAAAGAAGTAAGATAAACTTAACTTTTGTTTCTGAAATAGCCTAGTCAAATGCCTGATTTTGTAGTATTTGAATAACTGAGACTCTGATCTCATGTAGTTTTACATTGTGTAGAAGAATACAGATGATAGTTACAGCTTCTTAATACAAGTCAGATTGCAAACAGCATAATGACCAAGATACAAAAAAATTACACTTTCTCAAAGTTTTAAAGGTTTTTTAATAGATTTTTTTAAATTAGATGTTTATGATAGTAAGAAGAAGAAAACCTCTCCACTTGAAAAATAGGCGTTGTTTGAACTAGCAGCTTAAATATTTGTGTAGGAATATAATGCTTTTATGTGGGCAAAAAATTTATTTCCCTGTGTTTAAGACTTATATTGCCTGTCAGCATCTGTCTGTTGTCCCCTGAATTAAAGCTTCTTCCCCATCTGTTTTGGTATGAAGGAACTTGGGGGTTGTGGCATGAGTGCACAACAGGTAAGCTGGTGCTGGGAAGCCACGGCTGGCTAAGCCGGAAGGGAGCTAGAATAGAACAGCTGCATGGAAAAGAGGTCTGAGTAAATACATACCCCAAGTCTAAGTTCAGCTAGTACAGAAGTGTAAAGAAGAAGGATCCATCTGTCTTGCAGAATATTAAGATACAAAACCATGTTCAACATGATGTAGCCTCAAGATAATTGCTTTTAGTACAGTATTGGGTTTTTTAATTTCACATTCTTTCTAACATTTAAAAAAAAAGAAGGGAGAAAACTGTCAATAGCCTTGATGAAAATCCTCCCCATGCAGCTTGGCACAACCAACGCAACTTTTTGGCCTCTTCCATCCTGTCTTTGTACAGAAACCCCAGAGTCCTCCGTAGGTGCTATGTCACACAACCTCTGAGGCCCGGAGAAATAACGCTATGGCTGCCCTGGAGTTTGAAATACTCACAAAGCCAATACTTATTTCAGCATAGACTCATAACTCTAGCTCCTATAAGTACCATGGCAACACAAAATAAATACCTTGTGATTGCTACTGTCTGTTGTGCAGAGGTTCTTTTCTGAATAGTTTTCATTCACTAATAAGATATGTAATTGTGGAAACAAGTAGGTAATTCAAAGTAATGGGCATCTTCTTTGAATTTCACACTGCAGTCTTTACTACAGCTTGGGGCAGAGAGGCGTGAAATAAATTAAGAACCTATTTCATTTGGTAATTACATGGCAAAATATATGCATGTATATGGTGACTGTAGCGATAATTAGAAGGGTTTTCAAATCACTGGGCTGATGTCAATAAAAGACTTCCAAAACGTTTTGACAAATCCTTAGTAATTATAGTGGGATTCCAAAGCCATCATATAAAGCTACTGGAGAACTTCAAATGGGATATTAAAAGTATTGAAGTTGGGTAATAGAAAGCAGTGTGTGGTGTTTCTGTGTTCTTTGAGTTTACAGCGTTGCTGGCAGTAAGTGACATCTTTGTTGTTCCATGTCTTTTTCCTAGTTTACTAGAGCAGTATTTTTAAAACTTAATTAAGGTATTTTGTAACATAAAATTACTGCTTGGCTTCCACTTTCTAGGATGAGGTCTGTAAATGTAAAAGGATGTATTTTCAACTTAACTGAACTGACTTGCCAACTAGAGCAAATACTGATTTGAAGACTCAAAAAACAGATAAAGCTTTTGTGTGTTGTTTTTATTAATACTGCAGCTGCTGCAAACCACACAGCCTGTACATTTCTTTTTAAGCTCATTTAAATTTTTTACACATATGAAAAGCTCTAAAGTTCTGGCTTCCGTTTCCCTTTAAGAGACTTTGAGGGACTTCACTTTAGTGTGTGCCATTCTGTACCTGTGTGTACCAGCTATATAAAAGCATTGCATGAAGGTGGGAGAGATGGCTTCCCAGACAGGAAGTTTTGTAGACTGAGGACTACTCTGAGAACCAATACAAAATGATGGAGCAACGGCTCTGTGTACATCCAACAGGCAGCATTCCAAAAAAAGTATTCTGAACCAAGTTTCTGAAGTGAGAAATTCCAATATAGATCAGTTCAGGTGTTGGCAAGAGTGTATTCTTGCTAGGGAAAAAATGAAAGGTGACCTGAGAAACTCAGGCTAAACAGTGAACCTCCAGCTTCAGCTGGAAGATTGTGAGCTTTGTCAGGAAGGTAGAGTGGGGCCTTCTCTATGGAGGTGAGAATAGGCTCCTAACTGCATGTTTCTGTCTGCTTTCTTAGTTTTATATGCTTTACTTTCATTTAGGAAAAAAATAATATTGTTGTAATGACTAGCCTTTCCGTAGACATAAATGCTGTGCAGAGGGCTTCTGTTTCTAGTACAGGTTAGAGACACTTGAATACGGACTTCTTTTCCAAGGTGATTTTGTATCCTATTTCTCTGATAGAGATACCAAAGACATTAGCATCTGCCCATTTCTACAAGCCACAGTGACAAAGCTGACCATGTTGCTGTGTTGCAGAGGACTTTAGAGTATGAGAAATTTGGACTACTTCATCTATACCATGCATCTCTCTCAGTAATTTTTACCCTCTCAGCTCTTGCTAGAGAGCTTTATCGCCATTTTGGGCAGTGACATAAGTTGTCCTTTCATGCAGGAGGATATTAAGACATGGTTATTCTGTCATAGAGGACACCCATCTCTTCCTTCTCTCAGCCAATTTCTGGAGTAAAAACACATCCTAACATCTGCACGAAGAGAACAGCAACTGTCCAGTGGTAAAGAATAAAAGAGAAAATACCAGACACCAGAAGAGAAATAAAGCTGTCTTTTCTGCTATTACTAGTAGCATATTTTCTTTCAGTTAAAGACTGACATCCCTAGCTTATACTCACTAGCTAATATTTAGTATTACAGAATTAAATTAACTGATCTTTGAAGGGGTTGGTAAGCTCTTGATCCTCCTCTTGAAGAGTGTTGCTTATTACTTCTGGAAGCATTCAGCATTGCATTAATATCATATCAGAAATAATTTTAATTTTATCTTCAGTTGCCATGAGCTAAATTAGTGGTCTTAGGAACACTGGGTTATTTGCTGTAATACCTTGTTCGTGCTGCTAATCCATCTTTATATAATGAATATTTATTTTTCTTTACATCTCTACAGATACTTATTTAACTTGGAATTTGCTAACACAGCTTTGATTTTAAAATTATTCCAGTTTCATCTATCGTATTCAGACAAGGAATCCTTAGAGAGGGAGCCTAGAGGTGAATCCCAGCAAGAAGTCTTAAGACGGGCAGCCAAGGATCTTCCTATCTATACACGGACAATGTCTGGAGGTAAATAGGTGTTCAGGAGACCACCAAAGGCAGGTGTCTTGATGTGCTACCTAAACTAATTAAAAAAAAATTTCAAGGGTTTGGATTGTAGGGAAGAACTGCTTTTCATACTTTATAAAATAACAAAGTGACCTAAGAACTTAATTTTAATGTAGTTTTGTGCAGCTACACTTATTCAGTGGAAAGATTGTTGGAAAGTAAATTGCTGCATACAATTTAGGATTTTGAAGTGGATTGACAATGCCTTGCTAAATGTTTGCAAACTGACATTAACAAATAGCTTGTAATCCTAACAAACTGCAGAAGAGGCTGTAGCAGTCTTTAACTGTGTAAATTTCTTCTTTCATAGGTTAAAAAAAAATAATCACTATCTGCATGTCATGTATAGCTAGATAGCTCACAGTAAGAAACTGTTATTGTTCTAGTTGCTGGTTGTTCAGTTGCAAGAATGAAAGTTCTTCCAAAATAAGAGTTAATTTTAATCTACTGATGCGGTAAATTTGTCAATGCTGGCTAGCTAAGCAAATCCAAGAGATAATCTCATACAGTAAATTAAAGCGGTTAGAATAATGGCTTAAAATAGCCATATTGTTGAACAATCTTTAAAGGTTTTCCACTCTAGTGAGGATTTTGTGGTTTTATTGGTTCATTGGTTGTTTTGCAGAGCTGAGGAGCTTGGAAAAAAAAAAACCCTGATTAGCATGATTAGCAGAGATTGCAAAAGTGGAACTTTTTGGGTTCATTCTGCTAGATTCAGCATTGCAAGTATGAGCTTCAGTATTTGCAGCTGCTTCTGATCATGCTGAAATGCTTTCCTGGGGGTTCTGCTGGCTGAGCTGCTAGTATTTACTTCTGCGCAGACTTCAGGAATCCACATGTGTAACTGTACATTGAGATCTAATCTTGGAACTTTTTTCTTTAGCAATCAGATACTGTGACAGATGCCATCTTGTAAAACCAGATCGTTGCCATCACTGTTCTGTATGCGACAAGTAAGAAAATATTTTAAATAATTGGTTTTCTGAATAAATGGGGTTTTTTTTCTTGACGCAGAAGCTTTTATTTTTTATGTATAGATTTTTCAGGTTTAATGTTTTGGCAGAGAAGCTTTTTTAATTCCTTATATTTTTTTCAGGTTTAGTTGTTATTTATTTATCTATTTCTAAGGAAGTCTGTAACTTAATCTAATTCATTTGATGACTTTCTTGATGCCAGCGTGGATTCTTTGGTCTTACACGTTCTTTATGTAATGGTTAAAAATTATTAATATTAATAAAGAACTTTCCTTAAGAATGTAACCAAAAATAGCTGATAAACAAAAATTTGCTTCTTTTGTTAGAATCTGAATAAAGATCACTACCATCTCAATCTAATCATGATGTCAGTTACATCTTACCTGAGGTAATAAACTTAATATCCTGTTTTTCATTGGATAACTTGCAGGTTATTTTTATTTAAAGAAAGAAACAACCAAACATCCCCCATTTCTAACTGAAGCTGTAAAATAAATTTTTTGTTTATCTAACACAAAATGAAGTTTACCTCCATATTCCCCAGAAGTCTAATTGCTTTCTAACTTAACCTTTCTTTTGTCTGTTCTCTCTGACCTTTCTCCAGTTAGCCTGGATGTCTCTCTGTTTCTCCACCCTTGCCCCCAGTGATTTAAATTTCTAACTTGTAAGAGAAGGGGCTTCCTCAAAAGTTGATTTATTCTTAGCTTTGAGGCTGTTCCAAGCACACTTCAGCTGATAACACATCAAACCTTCCGAAATGATTGTGAGGCAGAGGCCACAATCCATTTGTCCAACAAAACAGGAGAGGCACTGAAAGAGTAACTGAGTTGAGACAGAAACAGGATCTTGGTTGTGTTTTATGGGATGATGGTTGCAATGTAAGGTAGGAACATTCTCGTGTCTGAGCAGGGTAGAGAAAAAGGGTGACCTGTGTTATCCTAGGAAATGTGAGTAAAATTGCAGAATGCTATTGGTTAATATATTTTGCAGCGTACCTTAATTTTGTCCTTACCTTGTCAAAATTCACTTGCTTCAATTATATATGATTTTCTTGTGCATGTTTTGTTATGGAGAGTGATTAATTGCAAAAACGTGTGGGATTTTTCATACAAGGTAAGTTCTTAAAAACCTCCTGTGCATCTGCATATATTTCTATAAAAGCAAATCATGTATTTGGAAATATATTTGGTTGCATGACTAAGTATATAATAATTGAATTAGCCCAGGTTCTAAGTCTCTGTCAGAGAATAAATAATAGTTGAAAAACCTATTCAGAATGAGAAACAAATCCTGAAGTTGAAGCTATAGATTGCATTTTCTTAAATCACTAAGCTCTTGACAGAACAAACATTTTAGGTTTGGGTTACCTACCGTTTACTTGTAGGTAAACTGTACTATGTGAATTTAAATAGACATCTTTGTTAAGTAGATTAGGTAACCAATAGTACATATGGGTAATTCTTAATATGTATGTGAGTAATTTCAATTTGACATGTAACTGCTTCTGACTTTGTTTTTCTTTTGCCTTTTGCGATTCTTGGAATTCTGTTGGGTTTTTCTAAGATGCATTTTGAAAATGGATCATCATTGCCCTTGGTGAGTGTAGTATTGCCTTTCTGTTCTTACTTTCTGATTTGGTAAAATAAACTCTTCAGGGACCTGTTATGAAGGTGATGCTTCACTATTCCTAGACTTAGATACTTACGTGAAGTTACTGGTCTTGCAGGACCATTGGAGTTATTTAATGTATGTCCTCTTTCCATACCTCACAACTAGGAAAAGAGTTCATATATCATTTTTCTTGGACTTTGAGTTAAGTACCTCCATGTTTTTACAGTTAGGATGAGGTAGACTTCTGGTCAGTAAGAAAACTTCTTTTAAGATTTGCATCTTTTCTTTATGGGCTTTGAGTTTGAGTATTACTGTGTCCTAGTTGCATTGAATGATGAAATACTACCCTAGGTTAAAAACCAACGCAAACGACTGTGCCTTGTTCCCCTTACTGAAGCTCCCAGGACAACTTGAGTGGGCTTGCTGCAAACAGCAATTCAGCTCTTTTATTTTTACGGTTCTTTGTTTTCTTTCATTTTTTCCTCCCCACTCCTTCCCACCCTCCCTCCATTTGCTGCCGTGTCAGCCTGCACAGTGGTTTTGTTTTCCTGTCTTTTCTCAGCAGTCCTTGGAACCACTGGGTAGTCAGGATGTGTAATTAATTTTATGTCAGTTTGGCAGGTATCTCATGGAGATAATTAAAGATAATTGTTTAGTAAGGTCCAAGTTAAGAGGATTGAGTGGTGGATGGCAGTTCTTCACCACATGAAACCAATCAGAAAAGAAGAATCTCCTGCGCTGAACAAACTGAATGGTAGATGGTTCTAAGGAGCTGGTTTGACCTTCTTACATCAAATTCCTGGGCAGAGGAGAGACTGTCCTGTGGGAGGGAGGGATGCTGGACTCTTCCTCTTTCTCTTGGTCCTGATTACAGCCTCGGACATAATGCAATAGGATTTAAGAATCTCCCCTTATTTTGCATCTGCATGGTAGATACAACTGAAAGAAATATTTAAGAATATCGGGTAGAGTTACTTCCTGCATATTTTTTTTGCTGTAGGGATATCAGCAAGTGAAACTTGATGCTTTGTGTTAGTAGTGTGCTTCTTAAAACAAACAAACAAAACACAAACAGATTAAACCCTTGAATGTGGAACAAATTCAGTTTGTTCCTGACAAAATATCAGTGAAAAGTCTCAATATTACTGTTATTATTCAGTATTATACAGACTTCTCATAAGCTTTATGGTCTGTTTGGGATTTTTTGAGTTGTCCTGCCTTAGGATAGTACATGAAAATGTCCTTCATGTAAACTTCAACTTCAGAATAAAAATCTGCTGTATCAAATAACAAACCATAAACTGAGCACTTAAGTGTTCTGTAAAGGGGCAGTGAAGTGGCCTTTCATTAGGGCATAGTCTTCTAGAAAATTAAACTCTATTTTCCTCAGTAGCGTTTGCTTGTTTTACCTGTTTGCAGAGTCTTAGTATCCAAACAACAAAAACATACCCAGTTTGAGAGTGCCTTGTAAGTCGTTGGGGGTTTTTTTGCCTGGCATTTTCAGTAAACTAACTCTTGAGATAGAAAGGATATTTCTTCTTTTTGTACTCCAAAATTAATTGTTTTAAATGTTACCTGTAATCCAAATTTTAACCTGGAATGTTCTTTTGTATGAATGTTTCACTGCAATAGCACACCATTATTTAGCAAGCTGTCTGTACCTTTATCAGTTTTACTCTTCCTCAAGATGTTAGGCTTTAAATCTAACCACCATTTTTGGGTCTTATGATTTGTTACTACATGTTCAAATAGCATAATCACAAACCCATGGTGTTTACTTTCTCTGTAACCTTTTGATGGACTATTCTCTTTCAAGAAGAACTCCTCAGTCTGGGGCTTTGTCAAAACTGTGGGGAGTGGGATAATTTATGACAGGGTTGCTTGGTGGTTTTTTTTACGTGTGTACTATATGCAGTAGTGCAAAAGAACAACAAGAAAGAAATCTGTTTTTGATTCAAGAAATTTAATCTCTGGTGAATAACATTTCACTTGATATTTCTTTTCTCACTAAACAGTATCATAAAGTAAAAACTGTCGTAAAAGAAATACCATGAAAGTAAATTAGGGTTATCGTAGAAACATTGCATCTGAATTGCTTGCAGTTTATCATGGAATTACTAACTTTGACATACTAAGTGAAGAAGACACTTCACTGTGGAGAACTGAAAATTTACTTTCCAATAAGAATCATGATGAGCTTAGAAACATATCTTCTGTTTTGTTTTTTTTAATCAGAACAATCTCTCGTGAGTCCTTCTTAACTGTAGTTAATATAGATGCTTAGTTCTTGCTTAAATGGCGATGCTAAATTTAATGTTTAGCCAGGGTGGTATGTTTTGTAAAAACAAAAACAATAACAAAACAACGAAAACCCTTATCCACTGTGAGGATGGGTAACAGTAGTGTACAGTAAAAGTTTATTTGGTATTTTAAGATTTTACTCTATTCTGATTACTATGTATATTACCATCACTGTCTCCCTAAAGAAGAGAATAGTTGCAATAGCTTGTCCTGTACTTCTTGAAGAAGCTGAAGTTGAGATTTGCCATGCCTTCTTGTTTCTTGAGAATTATTTTTCAAGATACAAGTGTTTTCATGGATGTAGTCTTCTCTTAATTAGGTGCTCTTTCTGACAGCAATATCAATTAGTTAAGAAAGCATATGGAAATATTTTTTTTACTCATATGGTGAGTTATGTCAAAGTTAGCAGTGCAATGATAACTCTGGTTTAGTTTCTTAATGCAACCGAATAAAAGGAAAAGGAAGCTGCTTACCAATAAACTGTACATGGGCAGCACTCTAATTAATTTTTCATTTGGTGGATGTAACATCAATATGTGTTTAATAGAACTCCAAAATTCATTGTACTTAATATATTACTTATAGTGGGAAGCTGCTACGGTATTATATGTATGCTCATTGTGTCTCGCTGATAGTGTATATTCATGTGTACACTGCTGATGCTCATTATCATGTATAAATTCTTTAAAAATGGGAAACAGGTGAGCTTGAAGCCCATAAGTAAAAATGTTAAAATGAAATTTATTTTAACATTTGGATGCATATTTAAATGTTCCTCCTCTTTTTTATTTGCTGCCACGTTGTCACATGACATTTTCTGTTTACTCAATAATAGTATTTCCCTCATTATTTGATATAAATAAATACTTTTAGGGATCTCCTGTGAATAGGCCTAAGTTAGAGAATCTTATTAATAAAGCTTACACTGATAACGCAGCATTATTAATGAAACAGGGTGTGGATTAAATGAGACTGTTTTTATTCTCACAAAACTCAACTGAGATTCAAAATCTTGGCTTGTCACTGTCCCAGTTGATACGTACTTAAACTTCCCTACAAACTAAAAAAGTAACTGTAACTGCAGTCACATTTACTTCGGATGTGCTGGGAGAAGATTTCATACCATAAGTCAAAACTGAATTTCAGTAAACTGTTGAAAGTGGTATTACCTGGTAAAGTTCTTTGGGGTTGTTGTTTTGGTTAGAATTTCTACACTAATTTGGGACTTGAAGCTAATACATTTCAGTAGCTTGAGGCATTACAGAAAGAAAGCAAAACTTGGTTTACATATTGATATCAACTTTTTTAGATTAAATTAGTTTAATTCTAAACTGGATGAAAGCAAAGAATGTAACTTTTTCTTTACATTCCATTTTTGTTTTTACTTTTTTTATCAGGGTGAACAACTGTGTAGGATTCTCCAATTACAAATTTTTTCTTCTCTTCTTGGCTTACTCTCTACTGTATTGCCTTTTCATTGCTGCAACGGATTTACAGTATTTTATCAAGTTTTGGACAGTAAGTACTCTAATATACATACTGTCTTTAAGCATATGAAGTTACCACTGTGTGAGAAGTCTGAGATTGGAGGCTTTACATTGTAATCTGGTATCTCCTAATACGACGTACAAAAGTTTATCTAATATTCATAGCCATCTATTTTTTTTCTGTTTATCATAGTTCATGAAAATTTTGGTTATTCCTACGTTATTTTGAAGCTGTGTAGAACAAGTATGCAATTATTAATTATTTAGAAAATATTTTACAAGGGAATTTGTATTATATATATGTTTTGTTAACTTCTTTTAATTCTATGCTATGAAAAGGCTTCAGGGACATTTTCTAGTATTTTAATTATGATTATCTAGGTTCACAACTTAGGATATTACCTTCTTAGATTTGCAATATTTATGCTATAATGTAACTATTCTGAAAAGGCTAATTTAAACAAGACAATTTTTGTAAAGATTAATTATTCTTCTCTGAAAGACACTTCGCAGTTCAGATCCAAATTGCAGGTTCTTGTTGTCAGTATTTACACTTTCTCAAGAAAGGTCCCATTTCTTTAACTTAGATACTGTCAACAACCTAATTGCATGGCTGTCCATATGTAGAAGGTGTATAATTAATTTATTCAGACTCTTGATGCATGGTACGTTTGTGTTTGCACTTAATTTGATTTGGCTCAATAGAGGAGTATTAATAATCAAATTAAATGGCTATTTCCCCCATTCTAACAGCACAATTTTTTTTAATTTTTAGAATGGCCTTCCTGATACTCAAGCCAAGTTTCACATCATGTTTTTATTCTTTGCTGCGGCTATGTTTTCTGTCAGTCTGTCTTCTCTCTTTGGGTATCATTGTTGGCTTGTCAGCAAGAATAAGTCTACGTTAGGTAAGTGGATTTAATGCTTCTGTGTTTGGCAGCAAAAAAGTAAATAATAGATGTATAGTATATGTATGGGGGTAATGGAAAAAGTGGGCAATTCTATACAGGGTACTTCGGTCCTGGTTCGACATTGCCCAGGTCTGGCACTGTCCAGTACTGACTCCTCCGTTCTGCTGCTCACTGGAAATTCTGATGCTTTTCCTCCTGCCCCAAGGGGCCAAGCTATTAATGAACTTATCCTCTTCCCCGCACATCTTCCCATCCACAGCTTGTTAACAGAAACTGAATAAAGAAAAAAGAAATAAATAAAATCGAGATCGCTTTGTAATAAATCTTAGTTGCACTAAGGGATGCACACGCAAGTGCTTCTTCTTTGGTGTTCCCAGCACCCAGGTCAGAGTCCTCTGATGCGGTGTCTCAGTCAGGGCAGTGGCTCCAGTGTTCCCACCCATGCCCCCTACAGAACTGAAGTTCCTCGGTTCAGTTTGGCTACAGTTTTGTTTAAAAGCTCTGAAAGACATCGTTAGTAATTCCAAAACTTTGCCCCTTACTGGAGGTAAGGAGAGGAAAAAAAATCTGGAAGGCAGGCTTATAGTGACCCTGGTGTTGCTAGTTTTGATCAACATGAATGGGCACAAAGAGCCAATGTCAGAGAATGATCTGATACGGAAGAACAGACTTTAAGGCAGTGCTTCTATATTTAGTAGCAAATGAACACAGAGATCTGGAGGGCGGTTTCACAGTTGTGAGTCCTGTCTGCCCCATAGTCACAGATGCATAGAAAGGACTCTGTGTTATGAGTTGATTTTAAAAGCCTCAGAGAAAAGGTGCCTTTACTAGGGGAGTGTATATATTATAACTGCATTGAATATCAGTGTTAAATCAGGATTTCCCACCACCTGGATGCATGTTTGGTTACAAGTCTTAAAAAAAAATAAATAACAGGAGGTGCACAAGATTCAAGTGCCTGTTATATACTATATCCTGGACTGTAATAATACAAATTTGCAATATATTCATTAAAGTTTCTAAATCTCTGAATGCTTTTCTGTTGATATAAGCTGAATTAGAGTAAGCCTATGAATTGACTTGATTTTTCCAGTTCTCTTCAGATTTACTAATATGTAGATGATTAATGGAAAACTTTGGAGGAAGACTTGTTGTTTACTTTGAGATTTCTCTAGAGTTTGTGCGTTTCTTTAGCATTCTGAAAAATAACCTACTTTGAAATTAGTATCAGAAAAAATTTGGTCATCTAGCTGTAAGCAGAGAAAAGTTTTATTAATGATGCTTAAATGAACAGAAGTAATTAAGTATTCTGTTTATAAACTGTTCTTATCATTTTAGTGAAAAAAATTTTTTTTCAAAGGTAACCGTAATGCAGTACACTTGTAATTCAGTATTTCATTTTTTTTAAAACAAATTGAATTCCATGCAGGTAATATACCATGTTTTCTGTACACTTAAGCTACTCAAACAGATCAGTTTGTCTCTTCTTCTTCCCATTTTACTTTGGGAAATTGCTTGATGTGTGAAACCCTGAGCATGCAATAGAAGCCATAACAGCTTCAAGGGTGATTGTGCTTAAATCATCCTGGGACCTGTTAGCCTGCCATGGGCGTCTGAAAGGGTATCCTTGTAACTAATGCATGCTACATATTGAAGGTCATTTCCAGCAGTTCATAGCTAAGGATTTACTGCAGAAGGATGATCTCTGTATGGTTCCAGAATCATTTGTGTGAGTTGTACTGTCAGGACATCAGGACATAGTTTGCCTACCAATATATAGGCAATTAGGGGAACTGAATGGCTATCAGTCACTGGTGGAAAGTGAATGAGTTTTCTGCTTCAGGCACTTTGCAACCCTTGAAGCTGTATGTAGCTCTCTTCTCTGGAAATTTACGTTGGACATCTGTGGGGAATAATCTGGGTCTACAAGTAAAGTGCTTTCTTTATGCAACTGAAAAAACACACAATATTTTCATACGCCAGGGTATGAAAAGCTAGTCTTACTACTGAAGTGGGTTAAGCTTTTCTTCCTTTCCATTACTCTTTCTGTAGTAAACCCTTTGTTTAGGTTTTTCTTTCTTGAACACTCTCTGTGGTATAGTCACATGCTGAAAACTTCATGTAACATATCACTCCTTCTTAAAAAGTGGGTTCCTCACACTTCTTAGCCTGATTAGGGAGGAGAGTGGAGGAAACTTCCATCCTTCCTCAGCCATAGGACATCTTTGTCCAAACAGACTTTGGCCTGTTCAGGTCACTGGTTGAGAGAGTCCCTTGGGAGACAGTCCTGAAGGACAAAGGGGTCCAGGAAGGCTGGACAGTCTTCAAGAAGGAAATCTTAAAGGCGCAGGAGCAGACGGTCCCCATGTGCCGTAAGAAGAGCTGGCAGGGAAGGCGACCAGCCTGTCTGAACAGGGAGATTTTGCTGGGACTCAGGGAACAGAGAGTCTATCTTCTCTGGAAGAAGGGGCAGGCGACTCATGAA